TGTGACTATTTCCTCAAAAGGGACCCTCATGTTTCTGGATGAAAGGGTAGCAGCAACTTGCCCATGCTGTTTATGGAAGTTTCTCACCGGTTCAAACATATCAGGTCCAAACATGTGTGAATTGCACCGTTTCCTTGGGCAGTGGTGGTGTGGAAGGAGCTTGTTGGGGGGCTTGTGGGCCTGTTGTTTGGGTATTGCCTGTTGGGGTCTTAGGATTTCTTGTGGCAACCTGAGTGTGCTTCAGCAACTCGAGACAGCCATGAGGCAAAACCTGATCAGGACAATCAGCCTCCTCCATATCCGTTGCTGCTTGAGAGCCCCCAGGAATTCAGGAGTAAATCCGTTGGCTCGATGCCCGCTTTGACTCGACTCGTTGCGGAGGTGTTTGCCGTCCCCCTTTCAAACTCCCCAAACAGGTCCAAGGTGTCCAATGCTCATTTGGGTGGCTCGAAATTAAGGAGCTCGGGATACGCAGGTTTTAGTCTTTGTTTCCATTTACCAAGGGGCCATTTTGGCTTTTGAGCCACTGCCATTTGGCGACTGTGGCACTGTTGGGGACCCTGGCGTCATTTTGTGTCGTCCGCGAATACCAAGCCCTGAACTGTGCCCCAGGTGCGCACCCCCTAGTTGTACTCCAATTCGGGACGGCAGAGCTTCAGCGGCCGAGATGACCTTTCCTTTTGCTGGTTCTCACCCATATAAACCATCGGTTTCCTTTCAGGGAATTCCTAGTTTCGTTCCCCACACCCCTGGGTCATTCCAAGGTTTGGTATGAGCTTTGGCGATCGATTTGACATGTTTCCTTCTTGGAAAGACACCTCAACGCGCACCATCGGGGGTCGAACGACTCTGTTCAGCTTGCAAGCTGCTCTTGACACATGTTAACCTGCAAGCAACTTCTGGAAAGCCGTGTTTCCTTGGTTTTTCTTTTCCGTCTGTCTTGCGGCGTGTGAGTCGAAGCGGTGATTTGAAAAAGGGGTTCGACCCGGGCATGGCACTCTGTGCGACCGAATTCGGCGATAGGGGCACTCGGCTGGATGCTTCCTTTTGCTCGTTGGGTTCTGCTGTTTTTTGCCGAGCATGAACAGATTTGGTCATGAGTGCTGCGTAAAATCGGATTCGTTCGGCAAGAATATGCATTTTAAGTCACGGCACCTGAGGCAAATTGCAGGAAGCAAAGTCTCGCGAAGCCTGATTTCTGGGTCCGAATTTGACACGGTGTGTTTCCCTACCTGTCAATGAGGAACCAACAGGTATAGCACTTGTCGCGAATAAACCAGCCATTTTGTTTGGTTATGGAGACCCATTTGCTCAGCATGGTCCATACTCACCAGGTAGAATGCTCACACGACTGAAAGTTACTAAGCTGCAGCTCAAAAGAGCCACGTGGTGCAAATATGGCTTCTGAGGCCTCGCTTTGTGTTTTTTTTCCCGCAAGGGATACTTCACGGTCTGAACTTCCGGCGTTGGATTTCTGGGACTCCTACCAATACACATTCAAAGCACACACTTTGGAAGACGACTTTCCTTCAGGAAATCGCAGCCCAGTTTTTGGGAGGGTATCCATTTCGGCAAATTCCTGAGTGAGCGTCCAAGCAAAAGCCCAGCCGTTGTGCACAAAATCTGCATGTCGCCCCCCTGCCCAAATGTCCGGCACAAATCCGCCCAGGCAGGGGGTTTGCATTTTCTGGGGTTTGGACGTAGAGCTCTGACCGCTGTTCAGTAAACTTCGGATTGGGCCCTTCCCAGTCAGCTCGTTTCCCTGAAAAAGAAACTGTTCAGCTGTTCTATCTGAAAAAAGTAAACGGTTTGGATGAATCCGAAGTGATCTGCAATTGGACATGCGCGAGGATGTTGCGAGGGTCCAATTTCAAGCCTCGAGCACGGCCGCGAGACACGCTCGGCTCGGCCGCGAGAGTGAAGAAAGAGGAGAGAGTTGACTGTCTTCAGATAGCCAGGCGAGACCTACATGGAGGCAAGTGGTTGCCCGGATCCCCCTCAATCGCTCCCCGCACAAAGCAAGCGAATTCTTGGTTTCACCACGGGGTTTGAAATTTGGGGCAATCCGACTTGGGCTGATGTTGGCACCTGATTGGCCACCCCTTGCCGGGTACGCACTGTTAGAGCAGCTTATGTTCGATTTGTTCACCTGCAGCTGTATGGTTGTCCAGTAGCGCCATGCCCTTTTTGCTTGGTTCCCTAGAGTGGGTTTGTCTACCAGGATCACCAGCGGTGAGCGAGCCATTTGGCGCCTTAGACGCCTTGGGCAGTGGGATCGATTCCTCCATCAGCTGCTACTTTTCAGGAAATGGATCCCCAAAACAGAGATCTGGTTAAGCGTTCTTCAGCAGAACGATGTGAGGAATGAAAGAATGACCAACCTGAGCTTCCAGCATTCGAAATCGGCAACAAAAGGCCCGTGAATAAGCCAGGTGGTACCGCCAAGCAGATTTCCTGTCAAATTTGGTTGCTTTTCGGTTTTACCAGCCCTTTAATTTTAATGGCGGTTGGTTTAGTCATTAGCACACGTGAACACTTTTCGCACGAGGTCAAATATTAATTGCTTTTCCTAGCTGGCCAGTTGCACGCTGTTCTCGTTTTCTTGTGAAGGATGCTTCTCTCAACAAAGCAGAATTGCTCTTTCTTTCCCATTGGGAACCACTGGGCAAACAAGTCTTAGGCGTTCCCTTCAATTTTCCCGATGCAAAAAGAGGGTAATTACCATAGAAGCGACCCAGAGCCGCTCCAAGAATCTCACCGGACGATGTTCTCGCGCTCCGGCCGCCGAGCCAATGGAGACGCCTCCGGTCAACCCGGCACTGGAGCGGGCCGATGCCGGGGGGGGGGGGGGGGGTTCCTGGAGGTTGGTTTTGGCTGAGTGTCTGGACTTCAGACGTGGGAAGTCCATTGTGTGTGAGTAGTCTTGGTGTTAGTTGGTCTAACTTGGTAGGTGTTTGGTGCAATAGCTGGGAGATATGTCCTGCGGATTTTGTTTGGTGAAGGGGATAATCCTAAACCACCTTGTTCTTGAAAAAGTCAACCCCGAAAAGTGTGGGTTGCCTTTCAGGGCGTGCTGCATTTTGCATAGCCAAGTGCCAACGGACATCCCCCCCACCCCCGTAAGCAAGCCCGAAGGCCCAGGCCCTTCAGGGCCCGACACGGTCAGGTAGTCCCACCAATGTTACAAGACGAGGGTTTCAAGGTGGCCTTCTTGAGAAATGCAGTGCAAATAGCAACCAGCAATATTCGTTGCGCCCGGGTGATGTTCGGAATACACACGTTGAAAAGGCCCACGTGACTTGTGAGTTGCCTTTTGCTGGTTGGTGATGCGTCAAGGGAATTCAGGAAGCCCAATCAACTGGGCCAGGCGTAAACACCGGATTCTATATGGCTGTGGGTCAAGAAAATGGTACCGGAATGGCACCTTGGCAAATGGAACCCAAAACAAAAGCCTACGTAACCCCAGTTGTTTGGTTTTGAGCCACCCATATCAGCATCCAGATGTAACGGTAACGAGCAAGCGCACTCATTCCCCGAGCTCGGTTCATCTCAAATTCGGGCCGCAGGAGCTGGCGGGCAGCTGGCAACTCTGGCCAGGCTTGACGAATCTCGTGTGTGACTTCAACGAGGCATGCCCCTCCAAAGCGACATGAAACATTTGGTGGAGTTTGAGTTTCCTTCCTTTGGGGGTGAGTCCTCTGAAGGGTGGCTTGAGATTGGGGGCCCTTTTTTGGGGGTTGACGTTGACCGCTGATTTCAGCGAGTCTCGCGGTCCATCAATCAATTCCCTTAGAACAGACGCCCCAAGAAACGGGGGCCCTTCTTTTTGGAGTCCCTAAGGGGGTAGGTACAAGGTGGGTAGAGAGCTCTAGGGTTCCCCCCCTTGGACCGCATGGGGTCGATCATCGGACAGGCGCAGCAGCTTCACCAGCGCCGTTCGTGAACCACGACTGCCTTGAGCTGCCGCTGCCAGTGCTGGACACCGCTCGCGTCGCACGAAATTGAAGCGCTTGCGCTTCACCGGCGGTTGCTGTGTCTATTCCTGGGTCGTGTCAGAGTTTGGATCGCTGGTGCATTTTGCTGGTAACCAAAAGTTTAAATCTGATGCAACTGATTATACGATGTTGCCTTGCTCGCGCACGCAGACATATTGTCGGGCATCGAAATGACCATTGCAGAATGCGTCCTTTGCAATAGAGTAACATGTGTTCAAGTAAAAGTATCATGTGACTGACCACGAAGCACTGGAAGACACAAATAGATATAGACATGCATGCTCATGCTCCCAGAAACACACATACTTACATACATACACTGCATCACAATGCAATACATTCCAATCCATTGGTTTGCATGCATACAGACAGACAGACAAACAGACGGACAGGCAGCCAGAGACAGACAGACAGACAGACAGACAGACAGACAGACAGACGGACGGACGGACAGACAGACAGACAGACAGACAGACAGACAGACAGAGAGACAGACAGACAGACAGACAGACAGACAGACAGACAGACAGACAGACATACCAACCCCGGACGAGAAGCCTTTTTCAGTACTCCTCACATCACCCTCTTTGGGTCGTGCACACAACGCCTTTTGGGCTAATGTCGACGAAGCTTCCCTTTGGCCCAGAGATGCTTGCAGGGGGCAAATAAGGACTGCGGCTGTTCGGGGTCATTAATATACCCTCTCACCCCGTAAGCATATTTTGGTTAGTTCATCAGTCAGCTTGGGGTAATTCCAAGGGTTCTGATGTATTGGTTCATAAATTCCTTACCGCATAGCTTGGTACTGGGGACCTAGCGGATTTGTGCGGGTGCTTCCGGATCCTGTCTCAAATGGGACCCCCATCAATCAACAAGGGGGTCACTAATTCTGTATCAACATTGCCCCCAGGTAAAAGGGAATGATCTCCTTACCCCAAAAAGTCCATTTTTCCAATTTGTACCACAAACCCCTTTATCACCCTGATTCCCCGCAAATCTGCACACCCTGACCTCTTGGGTTGATACCCCCGAGTCGATTTGTCGCTAGGACTGGGACCTGCTGCGGCACGGCCTGCGCGGCAGCTGCGGCCACACGCGGCTCACCCGGACCCTGCGCTGCGCCGCGCGGATCGAGAACTGGCAGGCGCCCGGCGCGTTTGACGCCGACTCCCGGAGCTTCCCTTGGGCCCCCAAAGGAAGAAATCTGTGAACCGTGTTGCATTCATAGAGCCTTGCCCAACTTGGCATTTGGCTCAAGTCCATGTATCATAGCAGTTCACTGCATGGTATACAATCAATTGCCCTCGGTTTCTCAAAATCGAGGCTTCAAGGTGTGCAGCTTTGTCATTTGCTGGGCCTTTGCCAGGAGCACGTGCTGCGGGTACTCAGACCCTTGGCGCCCACTGCGCGCCAGGCCTTTCAGGCTGGCTGTTGCGAGGAGCATGAGTAGTGAGTTCTGGGGCCTTGGGCAAGTGAGAATCGTCACAGCTAGGGGCTCAAGGCCAGATCGTCGTCGGTTTCTTGCGCGCTTGAGCCCAAAAGAAGCCCGGTTGTCAGACCCCGATTTGCTTTTTGGCTTGACCTTGAACCCTTTTGACCTTGAACCCTTTTCACTTGTTTGGAGAAGCATTGTCTCACCGGCAAACCAACAAACTTTATCGATTATTCCGCACGAGGGAAGACAGACCGCGCGAGGCCTTGGACCGGCTGCTGCCGGCGGCCTACACGGAATGCCGCCTGGGGGTGGTGGTGCTCTACGTGGCCCGAGTTCTCATGTGCCTGGCCGCCGGCACCTCGGCCCCGGCGAAGAAAAAGGTCGAGCTGGGGACCATCCAGAAATTTCATCTAGGGCCCCCAGCTAGGTGCCCTCTTACCGTTTCTTTTTTGGGTTCCCCTACTAAAATAGACTACAGAAAAAGGGTACCCTTATTCTAACCTCTTTACTGGAGGACCTGGTCATTGTGAGGTGTTTGCTTGGAGTGAGACGGTTATTGACATGTGTGACTTCTCTTTTTGTAAGCAGATGAAGTTCTTTGGGGTCTTCATTGACAACTGAGACTAAAGCTTTGTGGAACCCAGATGGGGTGGTGGCCAAGTTTTGCTGGATTGTCTCACCCCTTTTCAGGAAACATCGAGGGCGCCAGCGACTACTATAAGCAGTTGACACACATAATCTGATTTCCAACAAATTTAAACAAAGGATCTGATCCCTGCGTGGGAACCCAGAATTGGTCACAGGAAACCCATCGCATGCTTCCTCATTCCATTTGGAGACAACTCCATTGATCCCATTTTCCCTGGCACCACAAGGACAGTCCAAAGGATGTCCAGCCCCCGCTTCCTTTACTTCATAGGTATTTTGGATCTGACTTGAACCACACGGATGTGCTTCCCTATGGATCAAAGGATCCCGGCCATGGCCTAGTGAAACCTGGTTGATGTAGTCATTGGGGGCTCCCAATGCCTAGATGTTCCTTTCCCTGACTTCCCCCGGGATGAGTATGACGGTGAGTTGAGCTCGAAGACGTGGGAAGCAAACAAAGAGCTAGCCCCTCCCCATCAATAATTTCCACCCCACTGGCTCAAACAAACTGAGACCTTGATACGGCATCACAAGGATCTGATTTGAACAGTAGAAGCCAATTTTGAATTAGGGGCACCACTCCCATCCACTCACATGGACTCACCAGAGGGTCGCCTTTCAGAGGAAAATGGTCTTCTGTCCCCCGGTCAGGTTCCATGTTAGTGAGGGTACTCTTAGAAACCACTTGGCCATGGGTCAAAGTCCGAATCGTACCCCCAGTGAACATCCGATTCAATCCCAAAATAGGTAGCCAAAAATGGGTGAATTCACCTACCAACCAAAATGGGATCCCGTTGAACGGTTTTGACAACAGCCACTCGGGTCCAGCGGGGTGCCGCTGGCCCAATCCTCGAGCGAGGGGACATCGAGTGCTACGTGCAGCACAGCCCTTGGATCTCCGCCGAGCTGCGCCTCGCCGCGGATTTTGCAGCGGGCTTCCCTGGGCTTCCTGTTGGGTAGTGGCTCCGTTTTAGGGACCCCCCAACAAAAATAATATATATATATATATATATATACATGTTTGGGTGTGGCTCTTTGTTTTCGGGAACCTCCCCAAAATCCTTCAGCCTAGATAGGGAAAAAAGGGTTCAATGCACGCGGGCCGGCAGGCTTTGGGTGGGGTTATTGGCAGTCGCGTCCCCTTCAACAGGTAGGCGTGGCTTCTCAGTTCTGGCGAATTGAAACCATCCAAGAAGCAATCCCACCATGTTCGAGCCATCCGGACCAACTGCATTCTCCAGATTTCTTGTGTTTGGCATGCGTTGGTGGAGACTCAGAAGCACCTGCGCAAAGTTGCAGGGATGCCAAGTGGCTTTGTCCAAGAAAGGGAATGTAAAGCTCACAGAGGCTGGTTTTGTGAGGTTCCTGACGGCATGCTTCGTCAACGCAACTCGCAGCAGTTCCCCTGACTCTTCCTGGACGCTGCGAAGCAGATGGTCCATTTGGGATGGACACTTGCAGACTCACTTCCCCAGAACCCGGGAACTCCCCAGGCCCGGTGCATACCGCAGCTAGGCTGAAATGAAAGCTTTTCTACCTGGATACCTGGATACCATCAGGTACAAGACGCCCCTCACGGTCGTCATGGGCACGGACTGGCCCATCTTCGCGCTGCTGAACTCCTACGACTGGAGCTATCCGGGCATCCCCCGGGGCAACGACTACGAGCCTCGAAGTGGGAGATACGCGTGTGTCTTGGTTGATGCCCATGTTTGGGGGTGACCAGAGGAAAACGACGTATTTTCCAGTGCCCCTGTTTGGAGGCAAACCCGTATGTTGAGAAGAAGAAGAACAAAAAGAAGAAGATGCAGAAGGGCTTGTCGTTAGTTTCTAGACGTTTTGATCGTTGGGAAGACCGCTTCAGTGAGAAGCACAACACATGGACTTGTGGTAGCCAATCCACCTAGTGTTCCGTGCGCACCAGCGGCAGTTGTGGCGCGCGGTGAAAACAAGCCAGAACTCTGATTTAGTTCTAATTTAGTTGATGAAGGCACTCTCTTGACGCTCGGTCCGTCGGCCAAGCAAGCACTCCTGTGTGGGCCACGCAAGTAGCAGTTTTGTGCGGCAAGCGAACCAGGTGCGATGTGGAGCGCAGCGGACTTTTTAATGCTTCCGAAATGTGCGCGGACTACGCCAAGAAAAGGGAAGGCATCGATCCATCTACAAACATCCCGAGATTGTGGAAAGTCCGACTCTTCACTCCTTGAACAAATGGACACAACAAAGACGGCGAATCCCTAAAGGGGCAGCCCTGGAACCCTCCTCAAATAGACTTGCCAGGGAGACCCCCTCAAGCGGCAAACAAGGAACAGGGCTCCCGGCTTAGCCGCGAACGGGAGACAACCGGGTAGCGCTTGTAACGCGCACTTGACGCTCCCCGAACAAAGTGACACAGCGGTGGACTCCCCAAGTATTCCAGGTGAGCCGGTCACGTCACAGAACTCAGCCAATCACACAACTCGGACTGCCGCAAAAAGAAATCGGTGCCCCTAGTTGGGTGTTATTCTTGTTCTCGAAGGAACCCCCTTGCGTTGAACCAAAAGGAAACAACCCTTTTTTAGGAGTTCCGCCTATTTTGAGAGACACCCATTTCGATCATCCACCAAGACTCTCCCAGGACTGCGTCAAATCCAATCGCACCTTGGACTGGCCGCGGCTGCTGGCTGCGTTGCAGGCGCGGATTTGAGTGCGAGTGCGGATGTGAACAGATCAACATGTTTTAGTTTATATATATATATATTGCTTCTTTTTTTTGGGGGGGAGGGTCCATTTTTCCAACGGAAAGGCACATGGAGCCTTTCCAGTGGATGGTTGCTTCGTCGTGTTCGCAGTCACCCCCTTTTCGGAAGACCAATTTGGTTGGTCTGCAACAGTGGTGGTGGCAGGGAAAGTTGAAAGTCCGGTGATTTTGCCATGGGGGTGTTGGACTTGCAATGTTCGAATGTCCAAAGAGTGGCCGTACATAGCCCAAACCACGTGGGACCCGCCGATCGCCATCCCCTGGTTGCGGTCGTTCGGTGAGTCGCCAGGATGACGAGCGGCGCCCAGAGGCCAGCTGGTGGCTGGACATCCTAAGCAGCTCGCCAGCAGGCGATGGTCAGCGCCTTGTAGGGTCTTCGGGTTTCCTGGGGAATACCCGTAAACAAGGGAACAAGGGAACACTTGGAGAGAAATGATCTTGGAGCTTTTAGATGTTGTGGAAGGAAACCGAAGGGAAGCCTTCCATGTCAATAAGATGTGAGTTTCTTTTCATGCAAGAAGGGAGATGAAAGGAACCTGGAACACTAAGGATACACCTTTGACAACAAGCTTGCCATGTCCATGTACCTGAGCAGCTTCGAATGCCTCTACGGCGTGTATGTGCTGAACATGGTCAAGGTGGGAAGTGCTGATCGAATCCAGCGAATCCCTCAATGTCCCTCTTTGGACCTCCAAAGGCGGCAGCTTCAATGGAAGCCTCAGTTTGCGGTGCCCGTTTCTTCTCGGGGCGCGCCCATTTTCTTCTTTCCCAGGCCATGTGGTCTGCAGATACCGAGTCCTCCGCTTTCCGGATCTATGAGCTTGGGCCTCAGATCCGCAAATGGACTGCACGAAAATGGTCGCCTTTCAGCCGGCAAAGCCGACTTTGCTTCATGGACGCCTCAAGAGGTGCTTTTTTGGATGCTTCCTCCTCCCTCACTTCCGGGCTGCTTTTTGAGTTGATTTCAGGATCCAGCTTGATGTTCAACCAAGTATGTGGGTCAAAGACTGCACGGGCATCCCCAGCATCGTTTCTCAGGCCTTACGTCCAGTGGGTCCACTACGAGACTTGTCTTGAGAGATGTGCAAGACTTGTGGGGCCCCTGTTAAAGAAGTTGGCGCTCCATCGTTTTGGAGCCCTTGTCAGGACACCGTGTGGGGATGTCTGTGTTTAAAGGTTCGCTAAACAACCAAAATGGGTACCATTCAAAGAAAGACACACCCATTTGACAAAACTAGTGGTTGTGTTTATGTCGATCCCTCTTGAAAGAACGAACTCTACCCAGGCTTCCAGTGTTGCAGAACAGCCATGGCACAAGGAAGACAACATGAGCCAGCCGGTGGTAGGGCCCGCATTGATCTCCCTATGCAACCCCGGTAACATGTGTGTGTGTGTGTGACGTCAGAAGTTGCCGCGGTGAGTTCCAAAGGCGTCTCATGATTTTGTTGGGGGCACAGCTGTTGCGAAGCTCGCAGCAATCAGCTCATGTGTTCAGTGCAGGACGGTGTGTTGCATGGAAGTACTGTGGTGTTGCATAAAAGGCAATATAGCGTAGCATCATGAACGTTGCGAGAAAGCCTGCTGTTCCCCCTGGTGTTTCCAACATTGGATGCTCTTTCAAAGTGCCTGATGATGATGATGATGATGATGATGACGATGATGACGATGACGATGACGATGATCTTCTCAGGCCAGCTGTTTCGTTGTCCAGACGTGCAAAGAAATTCTTACGTGAGCGACTACCGTCAGTTTGCAGAAGACTACAGAGGCCGGACACATTTTTTCGGGTTCTAAAGGTGCAAGACGAGGCAGGAACACCCCAAAACGAGGTAGAGCCATGGCCTATAGGTGGCTGAGCTCAGCACACGCATTGGAAAACAAGGTCAATGTGTCGAAGCAGGTGCACAATCAGAGAACACCTGGCCATTCCACCATGTACCGTAGCTCATGTGTGTTTCCTAGACGAATTCAGCCCCCTTGCAATTGTTGGCTTGCAATTGCTTCCTTTTGATCAGCAGCACCCGCCCAAGAGCCTAGAGGTCCCTGCTTGCTTTTCAAGTGCCGAGATCAACGTGCAGCCAAGTTGTCGTCGCAGTTGCGGCATATTTTGCAGTGATGTCGCGCAACTACTTTGATTTGAGTAGCTAGATCGGAAGAAGGCTTAATGCTTCCATGTGAGAACTGCATGCACTAAGTTTGTCCGCCGCTCAAGATAGAGAAAGAGGCTTCAAGAAAATGGCTCGAGGGTTGCTGCTTAGTGCAGACCTCTCGGACACAGCGGCCTTAGCCTTTTTGTCAGAGAGGCCTGAAACGACACTTTTGCGGGCTGGCAAGATGAGGGCCATGTTGCAGGTGTGGGCAACTGAAAGACAGGGCGATGACCCTTTGAAACTGTGCATTGATCGAAGCAGAGAAGAACACACTTGTCCAGCAAAACGCTGGGAACAACAGCTAATGCCATTCACTGGCGGGTAAATAGTAGCTTGTGGGGTTCTTTTCACCAGCAAGTAAATAGTAGGCTGGTTTCCTTGAAGTGATTTCTGTCTCCCTTGTCCTGCCTGTCCACGGGCCCCAGTCGTTCCAAGGGTCCCGCCCAAGCCGAGGAGAGCCTCCACTTGCTGGGGGCATCTGGGTGGCGGATCTTCGAGCTGCTGCACCATTTCGGGTCCTTGAGGCGAGGACATCGAAGTCGCGTTTGGCGTGTTGACACCAGGTTTTAAAAAAATATGTGAGATATCTGAGAGATCTGGTCAATTTTCAGAGAGAGGTCAAGTATCAAATATCCAGATAGCAGACCAAAGAGAGATGAGATCTGAGAGATCTGAGCGATCTGCATGGCTTTTCCTAGATCCCCACAAGGCCCACGTATCCAGAAAGTTTGAAGGAAACGGAGGGAGGCTCGCAAGAAGTTTCCCCGGCTTCTAGGGGCTTGGGCCAGTGGCATCGTGACATACTCACAGAGAGTTGGATGGGTTGGTCGTAAATTTCTCAATGGCTATGACTATTAAAACCGGTAGGGCCAATTGGGTGAGATAGCTATGCTAGCTGAGTTGTTGGTTGCCAGATTTGAGTTTGTTCACTGTCTATTTGACTCGGCGCCAATATGAATCTGCGTTGTTCTTTTGTTGGGCGACGGTTTTTGGGGAAATATACCCTGTGCCAAGTGCAAGGAAGAAGCTGACTGGGCCACTTTGATTCGTGAGTTTCAGGCCAGTGAGAGGGCCAAAGGATTCCCCGCGATAAAACAGGGGGGACCCACCGATGTGTTCATTGCGAGATCTGCATATTTGACTGTTTCCTTTTCATGTCATTCATGTTGGCCCAATCACATCTGGGGATGTGAGAGGGATGTGACATGGATCATGCGAAGTTCAGCAGAGTTCTTTTTCAACCCTTCAGGCAATTAGATAAAATATATGTCCTCTGTATATATGTATATACACATTTAGCGATTTCAGGTTCCAAATGAATCGCTAAGCTACCCACTGGATACGAGAGGATGCGTTAATTCGCAGAGATTGGCACCCCACCTCCCTGGATTGCTTCATGGCTCCTCCGCTTCGCCCAGGAGGCACAGCTTCCGCCTGGACTTCACTGCCCAGGAAAAAGCGCCATGCTGTCCCTGCTCCGCCCGTGTGTCCGGTTTAACCCGCTAGGTCCCCCAGTAGTGCCCTTTTACCAACTTTTTTTGGGGAGGGTTCCCCTACTAAAATACACTGCAGAAAAAAGTTGGTACCCTTATTCTAAGCTCTCTACTGGAGGACCTAGACCGGTAAAACGTAATATGTGGCGGATGTTTACCTGAAAGGACCCGGTGCTCCGTTGTCCGAAGCCGATCGACTTGGGCATGTTTGGTCAAGTCCTGCAAGTCCTTTTGGGGGGAGACCAACATAGCACGTTGCAACGGAGTTTTGACAACGAAAAACAAGCCGGCACAAGGGTATAGTACTTATGACTAAGAACTTGGTACATCAACCATATTTTTACCAGCATGTTGGCTACAATGGGGGGCAAAGACGAAGGACTTCGTCAGAAGCGGCACGGCCCTTCCAGGAGCTGGGCGGGTTGCCCTGGCGCGCGCAGGGGCCCTGGCTGCAGGCACTGCCCAAAGACCAGCACCTGGCGCTGCTGCAGGCGGGCGGCGGGGGCCACACCTTGCGAGGGAAGGGGCTTGGTCGAGAAAGACCGAAGACCCAGAGCCCGGAGCCCCCGTCAAAGTGATTCACGGTTGGTGAGTTTGGTGGTTTGTTGGTTCTTGGCTTGAAGTGTTTGGCATTCAGTCTGTGTTTCCCGCTTTGGGTGGCGGGAGTTGCGGCTGAGGCCGCAACCACGTTTGGCAGGAGATTGGGTCTTTGTAAAGATGAGCATGGTCCTATGAAAGCTTATGTTATGTTTCCTCGCCTATCAATTTGCCAGGGTTCATATCGGTGCCGAGAATTGTCCAGACCTAAAGGGGGAGAAGATCGTTTCACCTTGGCCATGAAGCCACTCATGTAACTCGAAGCCGCTATGGGCAGCTGTATGGGATGGCCACAGCGGCTAGCAAATGGGGGGAGGGGGCATGACAGAGAATTAGTAGTACAGGAGAAAACCCAGTTCCAATGTGACTGGAGCCACTCATGATGCTTATTGACCATTGTTACTTGTCCATCTAAAGCATCGTGCCGGCGTCTCACTTCATCAACACGGTTGGGGCGAGCCATCAGATTTCAGGAAGCCAAAGTGAGCCATGTGCAGAGGAATCTCCCTTCATACCCTTTGTTGGGCCCTTTCGGTCTGCGCTGCCCAGGCACCGCTTTTGAGGAGGGGATTTACATGTGCAGAGTGAGGAGGGTACTGAGGGTGCTGCATCCGCTGTGAGTGTTCATAAGGATGGAGGCCTTTTGGGTGATGAAACCCAAAGCCTACCAACTTTGGCCACCGGGGCGTGTGCACTCATGAAGTGAGATGATGTGTCGAAGGAAGTCTAAAGGAGAAAAACACTAGGACGAGCCCGGTGTCTCCGGATGAAAGCGGCGTAAAACAAGGGGTGGAAGTTATAGCTGGCGCTGCCGACTTGTCAATGTTCGGTTGTAGGTTCTCCATACGCGAGAAGAAACATGGGCTGGCCAAGTTGGATTTTTGCAGGTGCCTGTGGGTCTCCACAAGCGACACGACAAGCGACAAGCGACAAGCGACAAGCGACAAGAGACAAGCGACCCCGGCCACGCCCACATGGAACGCAGGAAACGGAATTGCCATGTTGAGGGTTTTTCATGGCTTTAAAAGGGGGAACCAAAAGGAACTCCGGAGCCATTTTGGGGGGGTCCAACCTTAACAGAGACACACAGCAAACATGGCGCCAGCCGCACGCAGCAGCCCCCCGGCCTCGCAGGAGCCCGAGCCTGGCCTTCTCGGACGCGGCCGAGGCCCTGCGAGCGGCGCTGAGGCGAGTCATGCGAGTCGAGTGTTCCGAGTTCTGAGTCGAGTCTTTGGAGCCAAAGGTAGTTCAACCCTTTTGCCTGGTTAAGATACCTTTGGCGAGAGGAAGGTGTTCTCTGATCGGAAACTGCCGGGCCGAGAAACCGTGGCTTTCTGGTTTCCCCTTGGGATAGCTTCAGATCCACTAGCATGGAACCGAACCGTCTTGGCGTCTCCCAAAACTTTTCATGGGGAGGCTCTGCTTGGTTTCCCTTTGCAGCTAGAGCTAGTTTAACCCTTTCCATGTTTAAGATACCTTTGGTAACATGGAGCCCTCTTGGTGCCTCCCACCCACTTTTGGGGGCCGGTACTCTCCAAAAAGGGAACCCTCAAAACGATCCCGTTCTGTTACTGAGACACTACCCAAATCGTGTGGGCCGGCTTTTACTATCCCTTATTTGTTTGCGGGTCGGGCCTTTAACTTCATGCCTTATGCTTTTGTTCTTCCTCTTTCCCGTTCTTGGTGTGTGTGTGTGTGTGTGTGTGTGTGTTTTTTGTTTGGGGGGTTAGCAGACCTCAGGTTGGCAAAGGTCGTCAGCATGATTCGAAAGGGCCAATTTGCCTGGTGGGTCCGAACGTTGAAAAAGACACGAGCAGCCGACGAAAATGTTGGTAGTTTCTTTTGCCGCCGGTCCTACGCCCTTACTTATCCTTTGCTACAATATGCGGCCCTCTCTAGGCTTTCAGGCAGTGTCTCTGGATTGAAGAAGGCGCTGTGGTATGGACTGGCCCCAAAACAAAGACAAGAACAAGACTGTCTTCCAAGGGCCAATGACCGAATCCAAGGAATCCAAGGAGGGGGTCACCTTGCCTGAACAATTTGCACATGATTTAGACCACATCTAAAGAGGACGAACCAACATGACACCTGCCAGTTGAAGCGGTGCCAGAATTTGGACAGAGCCACGGAGCCCCAAACCTCCCCTGCTCCAAACCCTCCCCCAAACCCTCCCCCGAGCCCCATCAAACCTTTGACCTGAACAGAAGTGAGAGCGCTAATTCACGTCCTGGAGCTGTTGCAGAACATAGTTTCATGTTCAACCTCCAGCACCGAACCGCTGGTTTCTCCCATGTGCAAAACCCTTTTTGTCCACAAAACAGTCGTTGATGAGTGCTGCACATCCCCTTGGCCCCACAATCCTCATGCCTCAGGGCTGAGGAGTCAGACTCGAGACGCTCCGCTTGAATGACTGCGAGTCGGCTTCCAGAAAGGGCAATAGGTTTTCGCCGTTCAACTAGAATTTCATCCTGGACGGGTTTTTCCAGATTGGGGCTGCCTCCAGTCCCAAGAAGGCTTGTTGTGGCTATGATTTGGTGTGGCTAAGTGTTTTCTCTGGCCCCATGACTAGTGCATGGTGTGTGTGTGTGTGTGTTGCTGAACCGAGTTGCTGGTACACCAAGGGGCCCCAGCATTGCCGGTTGATTTTGGGACGGCTATTCAATTGTTATGGGCCCTGCAGGTGCAAAAATGTTGACCCCTACCTGTGGCTCCTGGGAGGGACGGGGCCCGTTTGCCTCCTGATTGCAACTCCTGCATTGGTCAAAGGCGAATGGAAGATAACGCTGGGCTGACTTAGAGAGACTGGCGAGGGTTTGCTCTTCTGGGGGAAAGACAAGTCAAATTCATGTTGACACCGACAGACACTGAGTTTTGATGAACAATCCCAATTTCTCATTATAGTTTGTGGAGTGTACCCAATGTCTTCCCTTTGATATGTCGGTTGCTATGTACGCCGATGCTCACACAAATTTGTGCCTTAGTCTTGCTGGTTTTGACCTGCCCCTCCCCCCCACCCCCAAGAAAGAGGGTGAACAAGGGCACTTGCTTGCAGGTTGTTTCATGGGAACATTGACTTGCGGGGAGGGGTCGGGAGGCGTGACATTGTTGCGCTTGCCCATGTCTCCTCTTTTTGGGCAATACCAAACTTTAGGCGATTGAGTAGTTCCATTTGGTTTGGGGCGAGAGGTCCAGTCATTTTGCTGGACCCCTGCCCCTCACTTTCCCAGTTTCTGGAAACATAAAGGAGCAGCTGGGGCTTGTTGTGACCATCGGCTCAGATCCAACTCTTCAACCCTGGGGCCCGATTCCACGGCTTATCCTGGGACCACCTGGGCGTCCAGAACCGTTAGGAAGATCATCTCGAACCGAAAAGCACAGCTTCGGCAATTCACCCCAACGAAAAGATGGCTATGGGTCAAAACCCCGTACCCCCAGTGAACATCCCAATCCCCACTAAAATAGCCTAAAATGGGTGGTGCACCTACCCCAAAATGGTATCATTGGTGTTGACCCACGGCCAAATAGCGCCTTGGGCTCAGCAAGTGCTGGCAAACGCCAAGGACTGGTCTACATCACCATGGTCTACGGCTCCATGAACCGCTACATCGCTGGGTGGGCGCTGCGTTTGCGGACCGTGGGTCTGGGCAGCCTCGTCATGGACGCTCGCCAGATGGGCCAAGCAGAAGGGAGTCTCAAAATCCCATGGTTTAGATGCCAGTTTGGCCCCAGTTCCGGGCTGGGCGATGCCAGGAAGGTCCTAGTCGACTAGAGAGGGTTGTAACCACGACAAAGAACATGTTACAACGACAAAGAACATCGTTACACCGACAAGTTTCAGTGAAGACTATCCATCCGACAAGGTAAGAATGTCAATAGAAAGGAATAAGAAGGAATGAGAAGGTCAAAAGAAAGGAATACTACTACTACTACTACTACTACTACTACTACTACTACTACTACTACTACTAGTACTACTACTACTTCTACTACTACTTCTACTACTACTACAACTACTACTACTACTACCACTACTACTGCTACTACTGCAAATACTAACTTTAGAGCCTCCGGCTCAGTCCGCCGACATTGTCCTCTCCCTTTTCTCCTTCTTCCTCTCTTCCTTGTCTCCCTTGTGTGTTCTGTCGTCCTCTCTCCCTCCCTCTGCTCCCATCCTCCCCATCCCCCCAAGCCTCTCTCTCTCCAATCTCCCTCTCTCGTATGTATGTATGTATGTATGCATGTATGCATGCATGCATGCATGTATGTATGTATGTATGTATGTATGTATGTATGTATGTATGTATGTATGTATGTATGTATGTATGTATGTATGTATGTATGTATGTATGTATGTATGTATGTGTATGTATGTATGTATGTATGTATGTATGTATGTATGTATGTATGTATGTATGTATGTATGTATGTATGTATGTATGTAT